AAACCATCAGTAAAATATGCTCAGGGAAAACCCTTCGTCGTACAGTCGTCGGCTCTTCGGAACAAATTCGGAAATGCGCGCCCGCGCAAGCAAACTTTTAAATTTGGAGCGAAAATAAAGTGATTTGGAGGGAAAAAATTTTACCATAAATATGGACGAAGAATTAAAGAAATCTTTGAAAAGTAAGTGTGTTTAGTTATTTATAAGCGTCTTTTGAAATGTAATAAGTGTTATTTTTTAATAGTTCATCTGTAACCAGGCTATTGAGTTTCAAATCGAATGTTATTCGCGAGTTGCTCAATTTGGACTTTGGGTCTATATTTTTGTTCTTCAGTGTTGGAGAAACAAAAGCAGAAAGCGAGGAAAGCCAACGATCTCGCAGAAGAAGCGAATCTCTACAATATCGCTGGCGAGAAGCTAGCGGGATACCGTAAGATATGAGACATCATTCTCAGAGTAACATCGCAAACATATTATTCACCTGAGTACACAACACCAACATAGAAAAAAAATCATTCCCCTTGTTTATTTAATTAATTCTAGATTTTTAACTTCCGGTATTAAATACAAGTTCACATGTGTCAGGATCGTGTTAGCCTGGAGTGTAGACAGTGATACATCTTTCCAGAAAGTATGTCACTTTGGTGATAGGATAGAGCCTCGTTTTTGTGTATGCCTAATGCACCTATCAATGTTTTCCCCCTGGGGGGGGGGGGCAACCCAGGGTAATTTTGACATTTTTAAAATTTTGTAGTCGAAATCCCCACTGTTGGGCAAGGAATTGCTGTCAAAATTCCCCCACTATATTCCTAAGATAACAAGGCACACATATGTTTTACTGGTTTAAACTTGGTTAAAACTTTCAAGATGGCAGATGTCAAAATTTCCCGACTCTGGGAGTTGATGCATAGGTCAAATTCCCCTCACTGGGGTTTTATAGTGTAGTCAAAGTCCCCTGGGTTGCCCACACCACCCCCTCAGGAGGAAAACATAGGTGCATAATGTCTCAAACACGAAAACAAGGCTCTGTAGTCAAGTTGACATACTTTCTGGAGCAAAGACTGCAAAGTTTCTTTTATGTGCCGGCCCCAATAATAAGTCGTTTGCGTAACATTTTTGATATGTCAAAACACTAGGTGCCTTGTAGGCATATAAAACAAAAACAATGGAAAGTTCCAATCGAAGGATTGTGACTGTACTATTGCTATGTTTGGCAAGTGCATGTAAGTATCCCTTGTGTAGTTGCAGGGTGAATAACCCTAATCCGTTTTCCAATTGTTAGGGTTATTCGAAGAAGCAATTGAAGAACATCGAATGGAATTACAATTATCAGAGGCTCTTAACGACACTATTGCTGTGGCGATTGCACATCGCAAACTGGGCGAGTGTCTGTGTGAACTTCAGGACTTCACACAAGCTTTATTTCATCAACAAAAGCATTTAGAGGTAATAATCCATTGAACACCAGCCACTCTCTTCTTGATTCAGGAGCAAAATCATCTGGTGATAGAGTACAGTAATAAAGTAGGGTGCATTAGGACACAATGCAACCTCATGGGTTAACATAAGTAATATGCTCAGGGAAAATCCTTCATCGTACAGTTGTCGGCTCTTGACATTGAATTAGATTTCTGCTCAAATACCATGTCGGTTTAATACTGTCAGTAAAATATGCTCAGGGAAAATCCTTCATCGTACAGTCGTCGGTGCTTGACATTGAATTATATTTCTGCTCAAATACAATGTATTTAAGTATATTTTTAAGGTGGCTCGATATAGTTATCACAAAAACCCTGTTCAAGAATCGCGAACTCAAAACCGGTTGACCATTTTTACACGCAGGTCACGGAAACTGATTAACAAAATGAAAGAACTTCCAAAATGACCTGACGTGAGCAGTTGCTCGCGCCATCTCACGCCATTGCGCATGTTCTATAGCGTTTTATGTCAATTGCTGACGTCATTAGAATTTTCCATTTTAGAAAAACAATGCGCTATATCTCTTTATTTTGTCTGGTGACCTATGTTCAAATTTTGCATGCTGTATTGCACCGCTAACAATATTCATTATACAAAAAATAAAAAAATTCTGTAATGCCAAAAAAATGTTACCAAAGAATATGACATTTTCGCTATATTTTGCTAATTGTTAGCTTTAAGTCCAAGTAAAATAATGCACGAAAAAAAATTGGGGGTCACCATGCTTTTTTTCCAACTATACGAGACGATAGGCCATTTTGGAGTCAATTTCGTACACGTATGTCGGCATAGCAACGAACTATCTGTTACTAAAACGAATATAATTTGAAAGTAGAGTTATCAAAATATATAAAAAACCCAATATCTGCTGAATAAATCCTAAAAATGCGTAGTTTGAACATGTCAAAGTGTTAAACACCTGAATTTTTGAAAACTGTATCGAGCCACCTTAAATGTAAATATTAATTGAATAATAAAGCGCATTTATACCAAACTTTTTTTTTGTCAAAATCCCAGGGAAAACCCGTCAGTAAAGTATGCTCAGGGAAAATCCTTCATCGTACAGTCGTCGGCCCTTCGGAACAAATTCGGAAATGCGCGCCGCGCGCAAAACTATAGGCCTGATCGCAGGTTACGCGCAAACAAGATTTGGAGCGAAATAAAGTGTGGTTTTGGAGGGAAAAAATTCACAATAATGGACGAAGAATTAGAGAAATATTTAGAAAGTAAGTGTGTTTAGCTATCTATAAGCGCCTTTTGGAATGCACTGAGTATTCATTTTTTTGAGTAGTTTATATGTAACCAGCCTACAGCTCGTTTGAATTTTTGAAACTCGCTCGCCTGTAAGGGCCTGTTCATAACTTCATATGGGGAAAAGTTATCCCGGTTTATAGCGATCTCGCCTTGTTAGGAAAATAATATGAAAAGTTACACTGCGTTCATATGATATGAAACGTTTTCCCGTGTACCGTGATCTTGCTTGCCGACAGGTGAGATCTCGCTGACCGGGATGTTTTTCTCATATGAACACGACAAGCCACAACTTTCCCGCTTAGTCATAGGATGCCCAAACAAGCGGGTTTTATTAAATAAATTAATTAAAACGTTCGAGTATGCAATTAGCAATAAAATTGCTGTTAGAATCATGCACGTAGCGTGCTCGGGTCGCGCTGTGATTTGACTATATAATTAGTGATGTACCTACTCAAATCACAGCGTAACCTGAAGTTCAGGCCCTAATTTGAAATAGGGCCTGACACAAAACCTGTCTAGACCATGGACGCCCACATGTTATTTTTAGACACAGCATGCAATGGGCTATTCCATTTAATATCCGTACCCCCCCTGTCGAGGATACATGTTTTTCATTGTCATACCCCTGAAGAATTCCAAGCTCAAAACTGTTTACCCCTGAAGAATTCCAAAATTCCAAGCTCAAAACTCTTTACCCCTGAAGAATTCCAAGCTCAAAACCTTTTACCCTTGAAGAATTCCAAAATTCCAAGCTCAAAACCCTTTACCCCTGAAGAATTCCAAGCTCAAAACCTTTTACCCCTGAAGAATTCCAAGCTCAAAACCCTTCACCCCTAAAGAATTCCAAGCTCAAAACCCTTTACCCCTGAAGAATTTCAAACTCAAAACCTTTTACCCCTGAAGAATTCCAAGCTCAAAACCCTTCACCCCTGAAGAATTCCAAGCTCTGAAAAATTTCAATCTCAAACCTCTTTACCCCTGAAGAATTCCAAGCTCAAAACCCTTTACCCCTGAAGAATTCCAAGCTCAAAACCATTTACCCCTGAAGAATTCCAAACTCAAAACACTTTACCCCTGAAAAATTTCAATCTCAAACCTCTTTACCCCTGAAGAATTCCAAGCTCAAAACCCTTTACCCTGAAGAATTCCAAACTCAAAACACTTTACCCCTGAAGAATTCCAAGCTCAAAACACTTTACCCCTGAAGAATTCCAAGCTCAAAACACTTTACCCCTGAAGAATTCCAAGCTCAAAACCCTTTACCCCTGAAGAATTCCAGGGATCCTCGACAGGGGGGGTACGGATATTAAATGGAATAGCCCAATATGATTGACAAGTGTTGTAGATTTCGTTACACAAATAATTTATATTCTCATGAACATGTCTGCAGAGTGTGTATTTTACTTTTTAACCCATTGAGTTGCATTGCACCCTGATGCACCCTACTTTAGTATTTTACTCTGTCTAACGCCAGACGATTTTATTCGTCAAGGGGAGAGCGCTGGTGCTTAATGGGTTAATTAAACTTAAAAATTCAACATACTTTTATATAATTAAGAGTCAGTTTCTCTATTTAACCGAACAGCAAACAAAGATTTAATTAGTCAGTTCTGTGCACGGCTTGACAACGCGGATATACTCTAACGGCTAACAACAGCAACAATGAAATTCTCAATTGTACCACGAAGAAGGCGTTGTAGCTCAGAAAACAATGCCGGTAGGACCTGATATTAAAAATAAGACTTTTGCCGGCGAAGCCAGTTGGCAGAACATCTTGGCTGTCAACAACAAGCTTTCCAATACATGACTAGTTTGGCTGTTCTTTCAGCGTCGTGTGTCCAAAATTCGTCAAAGATTTTGATAAAGCCCTTTCAAAATACTGTTTGTTTTATTTATTTTCTGCCATAAAGCATAAGAGTAAAGAAATTCAAAGAAATCAATAATGGAATTTGTTATGTGTGTTTGACCTTTATATTAATTGTTGCCTTGACCGAGCTATTTTTAAAACTGTTGTTTATGTGAACTTGCAACCAATCAAAATCTTTCATGATGCTGATCAACCAATCAGATTTCCCGTCCACCAGATGGACGGGAATCCCACAGTTTAGACAGGTTTTGTGTCAGGCCCTATTCTGTGATTAAGGCCTGAACTTCAGGTTAATCACAGTGCGACCCGAGCACGCTACGTGCATGATTCTAACAGCAATTTTATTGCTAATTGCATACTCAAACGTTTTAATTATGGATTCAGCAACTTTTCTGGTTTTAAAATGTATTTAAAGTTTTTTTAACTTTTCCCGCCTTGCGCGTCACACCAGTGCTACGTCACAGCCAGAAACTTTACCTGGTGAGTGGGATAACATTTCTCTATATGACCAGAACAAAATTATTTGGCTAGTCAAAATGTTTTCTTGCTAACCAGGATAACTTTTCCCCACATGAAAAGGCCGTAAGTCATTTCGTGAGTTGTTCAATACTTCAATTTGAACTTTGGGCCTATATTTTTTTTCTTTAGTGTTGGAGAAACAAAAGCAAAAAGCGAGGAAAGCCAAGAATGTCGCAGAAGAAGCGAAATTTTACAATAATGCTGGAGTGAGGCTAGCTGAACACAGTAAGATGAATCATTTCTCATTGTTTATTTAGTTAATTTTAAATTTATTAACTTCCAGTATTCATTTATACAAGTTCACATGTGTCAGCATCATGTTAAGGCCCAGCTACACAACATGACTAGTCGTATACGATTCTTATTCTGGCGTATGTACTGCCAGGATGCATTGTTTCGGCATGAGTTTGGCAAATTACAATACTATCTATAGTTACTGATTGGTGTATCTTCGGTGTAGAGTTTATGTGGAATGCATCCTGGATTAACTGGAATAGATGCATGTAAAGATGTCAAATTTCGATTGCCATAAACTCAAAACTGATGAACAGGAATAGTTGCATCAACAGTCGTTTTTATACCCCAGAATGACAATCATATATGACTAGTCGTATCGACTGTAAATGGGCCTTTAGCCTCGAGTGCAGACAGAAGCTCAGACAAACGGTGTGGCCCCAATAATCATCAATAGTCATTTGCATTCTTTGATACATCAAAACAGTAACTACCTCGATTGGCATGTAGTGGGATTTTCAAAACAATAAAAAGACAATGAAAAATGCCAATCAAATGATTGTGAATGCACTATTGTTATGTTTGGCATGTGCCAAGTGCATGTAAGTTTCCCTTGTATACACACACAAAAATCTCACATCTTGTAACAAGTTTGTCAACGAGCCGTCAACAAGTTGTCTTTGCAAAAACAAGTTTGGAACAAGCTGTTAACAATTTGTAACAACCTTGTTGATATTATCAGGCTTGTTACAAGGTTGTTCCAACAAGTCGAATACAGTCATGATATAGCAGTATTGTTACAACCTTGTGTCGTCAACCTTGTAACATTCTTGTTTATCATGACTGTATCAGACTTGTTAGAGCAACCTTGTGGCAAGTCTGATAATGATCGAGTTTGTTACAAGTTGTTAACAGCTTGTTCCAAACTTGCAGTCCTTGAAACTCAGATCGGCATTCGGCATGCAATGCTGACCTGCAAAGCGATATGTGTAGATTTAGATTGGCAAAATTTTGCCGACCTATACTTTCAAATACCTCTCGGCATTTTATTCTGCGATCGCATCTTTCACATACGCATTTTCAACGATGATGTTTTAATTATCAGGTTTTGATCATTAGCTTGCGTAGTCACATTGCAGTTTCATTGTTGAAAGGTGATACTTGAAACTTTGAAAGTATATGGCAATAAAGCTGTTACAACATGCACTGTTTGATTGGAGTTCATACATTTTGTTAGTTGTTTTGTTTGCTATTGGCATTGATTGCAATTAATTGCTGTTTATAAATATGCGTATTTGCAGCAAGCAAATTAAATTTTCATTTGAATATTTTCTATTTGTTTTGAAAATATTTGCCGACCTAGATTGAGAATTATGCTTCTAGGTCGGCAATTTCTTGCCGACCTAAAATTTCGGGAGTTTCAAGGAACTTGTTCCAACAACTGGGAACAAGCAGTGCAAAGACAACTTGTTGACAGCTTGTGAACAGATTTGTAACAACTTGTTTGCAGACCTGTATTAACAGCCTATGCATTTTCATGTGTGTATATGCAGACAAACATCCCAAAAATTAGCTCAATATTAAAGTAAATACTTAGTATACCATTACTCTTAAATGGTTGAATAACCTTAATCTAATTGTCTCCAATTGTTAGGGTTATTCAAAGAAGCAATTGAAGAACATCGAATGGAATTACAATTATCAGAGTCTCTTAACGACACTATTGCAGTAGCAATTGCGCATCGCAAACTGGGGGAGTGTCTGTGTGAACAACAGGACTTCAAGCAAGCTTTATTTCATCAACGAAAGCATTTAGAGGTAATTTGATTTTCTGTGAAACTGACAAAGAGAGATAATAATTCAGTAACCATGTAAATAATAATATTTTTTGTGTGTTTTGATGTTATGTACTCAGGTAAATATAATGTTTTTGATGTTACTCTGAGTGTACATGTATATTCACACTGAGCATGCTGAAAAGTTAGCCTGACCACGGTGGGAATTGAACCCGCAAACTTTTCAGCCTACCCGGTGTAGATATACACTCAGAGTAACATCAAAAACAGTGTAAATAGTAGACAGAAATCTTATCAGTGGCATACAAAGGTATTAAGGCCTGTCTAGACAATACAATTAGTCATATATGCATATGAAAATAACTGCTGATGCACAATGTCTCTTCATTTAGTTTCTGGTGAAATTGCTTTACGCATGTTCATAGGGGTGAATAGGTTTTCGGATCGTTGTATTCCGCCGAAAAAAATTGTTCGGATTTTGGATTTGGCGAATATTTTACACGGATTTGCGGATCTTATTAATACAGCGGATTGCGGATTTATCTAATATTCTGGCTCGGATTGTGGATTTTGCTTGCAATCTAGTTCGGATCCTGGATTGTGACTTTATAGTAGAGCTTTTAGCGGATCCAAATTTAGACAAGACCATTGTCGGATGGCGGATTTTGCTTCAAATTTGGGCGGATTTGTATACCCCTATTCACCTCCCCATATACAAAGTTCATTAGACACATTGGCAGATTATCCCATTGAGCGCCAGCACTCTCCTCTTGATGAGCAAAATCATCTGGTGTTAGACAGAATAAAGCATTAGGACACAATGCAATTTAATAGGTTAAATAAATACCAAGAAATCCCTAGCAAGCCTGCCCCCACTTTGAGTTTGATCTCTAAAGTTTGTCCATAAAATTTAACCTGCCCCCACTTTGAGTTTGATCTCTAAAGTTTGTCCACATTAACAGCTATCAAGAAAGTGTAAAGACATTGTGGAGGAACAACGAGCATTAGCTACTCTTGGACGGACGTTGTTGCAGTCGGCTGTTTCACCCTCAAAACTATGTGAAGCAGAATCTGCTTTCTTGAAAAGCTTGTCAATCTGTGACCAACTCCGAGATATTGTGAAAGAAAAAGAATTGCTAGAAGTGAGAGCGAGACTTTATCTCAATCTTGGCTCGGTTTATGCTAATCTCAAAAACCCCAAGAAAGGCATGAGATATAGTGAGAAAGCATTAGCAATCACTGTGAATTACAGTCTGAAAGAAACTGAATACAGATGTCATTTTATACGTGGAGTGATACAGCTAGCAGAAAACCATCCTGCTGAAGCATTACAGTGTTTTGAACGAGCGAGGAAGGCAGCGCAACACCAGGGATTGAAATTTGAGGAAGCTGATACCTTGGTTCAAATGGGACATGTCTTTCTTCAGTTGGGTGACTTCAAAGGAGCTAAAAGGATTCTTAAAAAGTGCTTCAAAACAATGGAACATGGCAATATGATTGACGGGTTGCGTTCTAGTTTGATTAAAGCCATCAAAGGCACGAGACTTTTAGAGAAACTTAATAGAGGAACGAAAGATGAAATATTGATGAAAACCTGTGAAGATCTTGGTGATTTGTATTCCAGCGTGAAGTGTTATTCAAAAGCAATAGATTCTTATCTGAAGCAGTTAGAATTGAGTCAAATACTTGACAAATCCAATCAAGAAAACGATGCGATCTTGTTCTCCATAGCTCAGTCTTATTTAGATAATAAACAATACGACAAGGCAAAGGAATATTTTCATAAAGAGCTGTTGTTGCTAAAAGGGAAACCCCAGGAACAGTGCGATACTTGGCGCCGTATTGCTAAAGTGACTGAGTTAGCTGGTTTGGAAGAGGTCGAAAAAGCATACAATAACGCTTTGGAGTGCGCAAGGAAATGTAAAAATGCAAACAGGAAACTTCGTCTTCTCAAATTGTTGTCGGAATTGAGTAAGAAGCAGAGGAATGAAGGGGGTAAGGAGTGTAAGATTTAAAGATTTCATAAAGTTTAGCAACTACCTGAGACTTAGGACCATATCTCATTCTGTTCAAGCACAGCTAACTGCACGAATTCTTATGCAATATGTGGAACCGGAGCCTGTTTTCCAACTTGTAACGGACTGTAGCGTTTTTGTTTGTGTATATTGTCATTAGTTTCACACCAGTACTCAGGAAGCAAAGAAAAACGCTGTTTCGATACGAAATAGTTGAAGTAGAAAACAGGCTTCACGTTCAGTTTATCCTATGTGCTCAAAAAAACGATGTCAATGATGAAAATGATGGTATATTTCCAGAGTCTGTACGATTGTTTTCAGAATCATCACAGCTACGAAAAACTAGTTTCATATTAGACACCGCCGAGTACGACGAAAAATTCGTTGTCTCGCTCTTAGCGAGTATTATCCAATTTAAGTGCACGAAATGTTTTTTTAAACCAGCCTTTGATGCTGTATTGCAAATTTGATTTCCTTTCGTTTCTAGATACTCCGGATGCTAAGACTGAAGACAGTGAAACATCAGAAGAGCAATCTGAAGAACAATCAGAGGAGCAATCTCAGTTGGATGAGGATGACGGAGATATCTTGATTGAGGAGGAAATGGAATTCTCCGATTCCGATGATGAGCAGCAAGACGGAGACAAATCCTCTACTGCAAAATCTATAAACAAACGTAATGAAAAAGGTAATTTAATCCACATTTCCTATTGTACTGTAATAGACTCGCGTAACGTCACAAATGTATCAAAACAATACGTGACTGGAACATTCCAATCGCTTGATGTTGACTGGATAGCAGTATTATTACGCAAAGGACCATATTATTGTAAATGGAGTGGAATGTGAAACACCACTACCTTATGATTCTTGCACTATTCGTTATTTCAGGTGAAACAGTTTTACATGTTGCTGCGATCAATGGTGACGATCATCTCGCCAAGACTAGCATTGAGAAAGGAGTTAGTATCCACGCACGTGATTATTGTGGCTGGCAACCACTGCATGAGGCATGTAACCATGGAAACTTGGCTGTTGTGGAGTTATTACTTGATAGTGGTGCAAATATTGACGACCCAGGTGGACCTCACTGCAGAGGGGTGACTCCGTTACACGATGCTGTTCAAAATGGCCATGTTGATGTTGTAAAACTGTTGATATTACGTGGAGCGTCTGTTACTCGACACAATAGTGACGGCCACACACCCCTGGACCTCGTGTTACATGCCATTCAAGAAGAGGAAGATGACGATGATTTAAACGATCTTGATCCAGAGTTGGCTGAAATACGACAAGATCTCGCTAGAATTCTTAGAAATGCTCCGAATACCACAAAACGTCAACCAACTAAAGTTGCAGAATGTTCTGACGATAGTGATGTAGAATCGTCTCAGGATTTCTCAGAAAATGTTTTTAAAAAAACTGAGGAAATTTCACGGAAACGGAAAAGTGCTTCACCTGAGCTTGATAGCGTTGAGGAGAACACTCCTAGAAATTATATGGATGTTAATCGGAATAAAGCAAAGGCTGCCAAGATTTCTAAGAATACTGAGAGGGTCTTGTGCTTAGATGACGAAAGTCAAAATAGATATGAGAGGACAATCCTGGAAAGTCAAGATAGGATGAGTGAGATTCCTAGAATAGTTTCTAGAATTGCCAAGACAATTTCTAAAAGTGCAAACACGACGGGGTATGTTGATCCTGCAACTGGAAGTACACTAAAAGACACTCAGTTCCCCCAGAGCCAGCCATCTGAGCCTACATCATTGTCTAGCGGTGGCCCTACTGGACCAATGAGGTTTCGAGTGACGGTGAAGGACAAAATGTTCTTGATCCCATGTCCCAATGTCCCTGGGGAGAGGAAGACTGTCAAGTGGTTGGCTGAACAGGTTTGATGGTTTTTATTTCCCGTCATTTTGTTGATGGAAATAATTCGCTCGAGCTACCAACCAACGCTCATATCACCTTTTCTTTACATTTCAGGCAACAGTTCGTTATCATTCAGCCAGTGGTTCAAAACTCGTATTATCCTTATCTACCATTGATGGAGCCGCTCTATCCCCTGCTGATTTCATTACAGACGCACTCTTCAACAACGAGCTAGTGAATGCAACCGTGGAGACCTAGGACCTACCTCCGCTAGCTGAACGTTATTGAGGGTTATAGGGGCTTCGGTGGTGCAGTCGTCAGTGCAAGCGCCTTTCGCCTCTGAGATCGTGGGTTCGATTCTCGCTACGGACTCATGTGAAAAGAGTCTGTCAACGCTCTGCCGTAAGTCGTGGGTTTTCTCCGGTTTCCTCCCACAGGGAAGATTGACAGGGTGGGTTAGGATAAACACAGTTAAGAAACTGATATCACAATTGTTGTAAAGATAAAATAGTCTAGGCTAAGTATATAATTAGGTATTAAAGAGCATAATTCTTGATGTAAAGCGCATTTGATCATATCCACATGTAAATTTACGCTATAGAAATGTTAATCGTAATCGTCTCATGTCTCATGGCCGACACAGTATACCAAGATTTTTACTGTTGTGTCCATTGCTGTTTATCACTTGATAGTATATTACTATATTATATACTTTATATGTTTTTAATGTTTGTGATGTTACTCTGAGTGTATATCCACACCGGGCAAGCTTGAAAAATATTCCTGGCCACGGTGGAAATCGAACCTACGACCTTTGGAATACTAGCCCAATGCTCTGCCAACTGAGCTACGCGGTCAGGTCGGTTCGAGTATGTGATATTTCGGAACCGAGTCTAGTTCCTTCGATATCAAAGGAACTAAACTCCTTTCCGAAATATCACATACTCGAACCGACCAGACCGCGTAGCTCAGTTGGCAGACCATTGGGCTAGTATTCCAAAGGTCGTAGGTTCGATTCCCACCGTGAGTCCCGTGACCAGGCATAATTTTCAAGCTTGCCCGGTGTGGATGTACACTCAGAGTAACATCTTTTAAATGTAAATAATAAAATAATAAAGCGTAGTTATACCAAAAGCATTTTATTTATATATTTCCACTTTATCCTTAAGGGTCTTTATTTTTTGGTAAAAAACTGATGATATACATGTAATTTTCGATAAAATAATTAGTATCAAAATCCCAGGGAAAACCATCAGTAAAATATGCTCAGGGAAAACCCTTCGTCGTACAGTCGTCGGCTCTTCGGAACAAATTCGGAAATGCGCGCCCGCGCAAGCAAACTTTAAAATTTGGAGCGAAAATGAAGTGATTTGGAGGGTAAAAATTTTACCATATTAAAATATGGACGAAGAATTAAAGAAATCTTTGAAAAGTAAGTGTGTTTAGTTATTTATAAGCGTCTTTTGAAATGTTATTTTTTAATAGTTCATCTGTAACCAGGCTATTGAGTTTCAAATCGAATGTTATTCGCGAGTTGCTCAATTTGGACTTTGGCCAAAGTTCTATATTTTTGTTCTTCAGTGTTGGAGAAACAAAAGCAGAAAGCGAGGAAAGCCAACGATCTCGCAGAAGAAGCGAATCTCTACAATATCGCTGGCGAGAAGCTAGCGGGATACCGTAAGATATGAGACATCATTCCCCTTGTTTATTTAATTAATTCTAAATTTTTTAACTTCCGGTATTAAATACAAGTTCACATGTGTCAGGATCGTGTTAGCCTCGAGTGTAGACAGTGATACATCTTTCCAGAAAGTATGTCACTTTGGTGATAGGATAGAGCCTCGTTTTTGTGTATGCCTAATGCACCTATCAATGTTTTCCCCCTGGGGGGGGGGGGCAACCCAGGGTAATTTTGACATTTTTAAAATTTTGTAGTCGAAATCCCCACTGTTGGGCAAGGAATTGCTGTCAAAATTCCCCCACTATATTCCTAAGATAACAAGGCACACATATGTTTTACTGGTTTAAACTTGGTTAAAACTTTCAAGATGGCAGATGTCAAAATTTCCCGACTCTGGGAGTTGATGCATAGGTCAAATTCCCCTCACTGGGGTTTTATAGTGTAGTCAAAGTCCCCTGGGTTGCCCACACCACCCCCTCAGGAGGAAAACCTAGGTGCATAACGTCTCAAACATGAAAACAAGGCTCTGTAGTGAAGTTGACATACTTTCTGGAGCAAAGACTGCAAAGTTTCTTTTATATGCCGGCCCCAATAATAAGTCGTTTGCGTAACATTTTTGATATGTCAAAACACTAGGTGCCTTGTAGGCATATAAAACAATAACAATGAAAAACAATGGAAAGTTCCAATCGAAGGATTGTGACTGTACTAATTAATATTGCTATGTTTGGCAAGTGCATGTAAGTATTCCTTGTGTAGTTGCAGGGTGAATAACCCTAATCCGTTTTCCAATTGTTAGGATTATTCGAAGAAGCAATTGAAGAACATCAAATGGAATTACAATTATCAGAGGCTCTTAACGACACTATTGCTGTGGCAATTGCGCATCGCAAACTGGGCGAGTGTCTGTGTGAACTTCAGGACTTCACACAAGCTTTATTTCATCAACAAAAGCATTTAGAGGTAATAATCCATTGAACACCAGCCACTCTCTTCTTGATTCAGGAGCAAAATCATCTGGTGATAGAGTACAGAAATAAAGTAGGGTGCATTAGGACACAATGCAACCTCATGGGTTAACATAAGTAATTAGTGTCATAGGGTTAGGGTTAAAGTTTGTCCATAAAATTTAATCGTTTTTGCATTAACAGCTATCAAGAAAGTGTCAAAACATTGTGGAGGAACAACGAGCATTAGCTACTGTTGGGCGGACATTGTTCCAGTCAGCAGTTTCACCCTCAGAACTACGTCAAGCACAATCTGCTTTCTTGGATAGCTTGTCAATCTGTGACCAACTCCGAGATATTGTGAAAGAAAAAGAATTGCTAGAAATGAGAGCGAGACTTTATCTCAATCTTGGCTTGGTTTTTACCAATCTCAAAAATCCCAAGAAAGGCGTGAGATATATTGAGAAAGCATTAGCCATTACTGTCAATCACAGTCTGAAAGAAACTGAATACAGATGTCATTTTTCACGTGGAGAGATAAAGCTGGCAGAAAACCATCCTGCTGAAGCATTACAGTGTTTTGAACGAGCGAGGAAGGCAGCGCAACACCAGGGAATGAAATTTGAAGAAGCTGATACCTTGGTTCAAATGGGACAGATTTTGCTTCAGTTGGGTGACTTCAAAGGAGCTAAAAACATTCTTAAGAAGTGTTTCAAAACAATGAAACATGGCAACATGATTGACGAGTTGCGTTCTAGTTTGATTAAAGCCATCAAAGGCACGAGACTTTTAGAGAAACTTCGGAATAATAGAGGAACAAAAGATGAAATATTGATGAAAATCTGTGAAGATCTTGGTGATTTGTATTCCAGCGTGAAGTGTTATTCAAAAGCAATACATTATTATCTAAAGCAGTTAGAATTGAGTGAAATACTTGACAAATCCAATCAAGAAAAAGCTGTGAACTGTTTCTCCATAGCTCAGTCTTATTCAGATAATAAACAATACAACAAAGCAAAAGAATATTTTCATAAAGAGCTGTTGTTACTAGAAGGGAAACCACAGGAACAGTGCGATACTTGGTGTAAGATGGCTGAAGTGAGTGAGTTAGCTGGTGATAGTTTTGAAGAGATTGAAAAAGCATACAATAACGCTTTGGAGTGTGCAAGGAAATGTGAAAATGCAAACAGAAAACTTCGTCTGCTCAAATTGTTGTCAGAATTGAGAAGGAAGCAGAAGAATGACGAAGACGATGATGAATGTAAGATTTAAAGATTTCATAAAAAGTTCAGTAACTACCTAAGTTCAGTAACTACCTGAGTTCAAGCACAGTTAGGGACAGAGTCTGTCGTCCAACGTATCGTAACGGATTGGAGCGTGTTAACATCATATTTTCATTAGTTTCACAATACTACTCGGGAAACAAAGAAATACGTTACGTTTCGATAGGATATCGTTGAGGTAGAAAATAGACTTTACGTTTATCCTATGTGCTCAAAAAACAAAGTCAATTATGGCAAATTTCTGGAGTCTGTATGATTCTTTTTTCAGAATCATCCTCAGAGATGAAAAAACTAGTTTCATATTGTTCTGACTCTGCATAATACAACGCAAGAATGGTTGTCTCGAGCGGGATTGAAACTTTGGACACCCATTGAGTTATCGAATCTATTGGTAGCGAGTCTCGTCCATTTTAAAGGCACGAAATATTTTTTGATGCTGTGTTGCGAATTTGATTTTCTTTCGTTTCTAGTTACTCCGGATGCTAAGATTGAAGACAGCGAGACATCAGAAGAGCAATCTGAAGAACAATCAGAGGAGCAATCTCAGTTGGATGAGGATGATGAAGATGGAGATATCTTGATTGAGGAGGAAATGGAATTTTCTGACTCCGATGATGAGCAGCAAGACGGAGACAAATCCTCTACTGCAAGATCAAAAAGAAACTCAAAATCTATAAACAAACGTAATGAAAAAGGTAATTTAATCCACAGTTCTTTAAAATACTATGTAATAGACTCCCTGCATGACGTCACAAGTATGTCAAGACAAGTATGTCAAGACATTTATTTTTTCAGGTGAAACAGTTTTGCATGTTGCTGCGATCAATGGTGACTATCATCTCGCCAAGACTAGCATTGAGAAAGGAGTTAGTATCCACGCACGTGATTATTGTGGCTGGCAACCACTGCATGAGGCATGTAACTATGGAAAGCTGGCTGTTGTGGAGTTACTACTTGATAGCGGTGCAGATATTGACGACCCAGGCGGACCTCACTGTAGAGGGATGACTCCGTTACACGATGCAGTTCAAAATGGCCATGTTGATGTTGTAAAACTGTTGATATCACGTGGAGCGTCCATGACTCGACGTAATAATGACGGTCACACCCCCCTGGGCCTCGTGTTACATTCCATTGAAGAAGATGAAGATGACGATGATTCAAGCGTTCTTGATCCAGACTTGGCTGAAATACGAGAAGATCTCACTAGAATTCTTAGAAATGCTACGAATACTGGAAAACGTCAACCAACTAAAGTTCCAGAATTAAGACGAAGAGATAAACTTGAATTTTCTGACGATAGCGATGTAGAATCGTCTCAGGATTTCTCGAAAAATGTTTCTAAAAAAACTGAGGAAATTTCAAGGAAACGGAAAAGTGGTTTACTTGAGCTTGATAGCGATGAGGAGAACACTCCTAGAAATTCTATGAATGTTAATGGGAATAGAACAAAGATTGCTAAGGTTTCTAAGAATACAGAGAGCGTCTTGTGGTTAGATGACGAAAGTCAAAATAGATATGTTGGGACAATCTTGGAAAGTCAAGATAGGATGAGTGAGACTTCAGGACGAGGGACATTTAGGGATGATTCAGATCACAGTGAGACATCACGTGATTGCATGGGTGGCCTAGAGTTATTGAGGAGTGACTCACGGAACAGAGAAGATGCGATTGAATTGGATAGTGATCCTTTAGATGCCTTTTGTTCACCTCAACCATCCCTATTCGATTATTCTGATCCCCTGGATATCCCGCATATTCCTTGTCACACACCCAAGTCAGGTCGTACAAGAATGTTTCAATTGCGTTTATCGTCAAACAAAAACAACGCAAGTTCTAGCTCCTCTTCAAAGAATAATACCACAAGTTCAATTCTTAGAATTTCCAACACAATTTCTAGAACGAATAGTGCAACTCCTAGAAAGAGTAATAACACAATCCCTAGAACAGTTTCTAGAACTGCCAACACAATTTCTAAAAGTGCAAACACAACAAGGTATGTTGATCCTGTAACTGGAGGTACAGAAGAAGACACTGAGATCCCCCAGAGCCAGCCAGCTCTAATACCGGAGAACGAGTACCTCTCAACTGCTACAGATGCCTGGCTCATTGATGATATGCCAAGGAAAACTGGTAAACGCAAGCGATCTGGGAATTTACTGAGCATGCTTAGTGGTTTAGAATCTTCACGTGATAACTCCGCTTCTTCGCGCATGCGAGGTAGCTCAGACTCATCGCGTTCAGTCAGCAGTAACTCGGGCACTCAGCGTCGAGTCCCACAAGCATCAACGCAAAGAGGACATACTATAAGTACTGGAGGTAACAAACACAGGTTAAGACAATCTCGACTCAATGTTGTCAGCGGCCGTTCATCTCCAAGTAAATTTTGGGACGACGCACCATCTGAGCCTACATCATTGTCCAGCAGTGTCACTACTACACCAATGAGGCTACGAGTGAGGGTGAAGGACAAAATGTTCTTGATCCCATGTCCCGACGTCCCTGGGGAGAAGAAGACTGTCAAGTGGTTGGCTGAACAGGTTTGGCGGGTTTTAGTTTCCGTCATTTTGTTGGCAATATTCGCTCGAGCTATAAGAACGACCAACCAACGCTCATATCACCTTTTTTTTACATTTCAGGCAACATTTCGTTATCATTCAGCTAGTGGTTTAAAACCCATATTATCCCTATCTACCACTGAAGGAGCCGCTCTATCCCCTGCTGATCTCATTACAGACGTACTCTCCAACAACGAGCTAGTGAACGCAACCGTGGAGACCTGGGACTTACCTCCGCTAGCTGAACGTTATAAAGTATCATGTCTCATGGCTGACACAGGTGTGCCAAGAATCCTACTTTTGTGTTTAATACTTGTATAAGGAAGAGAATTAAACTACCTTACTTGCCTCCAAATACAAGATTACTACATATAATGTAAAGAATTACCATTATTTTCTCACTGTGATAACTGCAGATTGACCACCATCAACTGCTTAGCGACCAACGTATTTTATTTTATTCAAATTAAATTTCTACTTTATTTCAGAGGTGCAGAAGAAGATCCTGGATGTCTTCGAGAGAAATCCTCATATTTCAAATGTTGAGTTTAGCGACATGGCGTTGACGTCTGTGGCATTGCTTTCGTTGTTTCGTACTCTGCAATGTCACGATCATCTTGTGAGATTGGCTTTGCCCGGAAACAGAATTGGTGAGAAAAATAAACTAATTTTATTTATACTGAATAGCTCTATCAGTTCTAAACTGTCCCTCCTAGAGGTCCAGTAAGGATCATCTCTTATTGATCCAGTGTTACTACAGGAGGAAATCTAAACTAACTTTATTTATACTGAATAGCTCTATCAGTTCTAAACTGTCCCTCCTAGAGGTCCAGTAAGGATCATCTCTTATTGCTCCAGTGTTACTACAGGAGGAAACCTAAACTAAACTCACTTTATTTATACCAGTTAGGCTCAGTTTTAAACTGTTCTTCCTAGAGGTCCTTTGATAGAGTCAAAGTGGAAGCACTCTTCTTCCAAAGGCGAACTTATAATCAGTTACGAGACTTTGTCAGTAGAGTTTGTCGTCTAAAGCTTTGTTTTTCTGTTATGTTATAGGAGACAGTGGTCTTCAACATTTCATCTCATCTTTGCCTTGTCTTTTCAATCTCTCCGTCCTGATCTTCAGTTGTAATGGAATCACACACAAAGGATTGCGACATCTCGCTTCGAGTTTGACTCAAGATGATAAGGTCTGTTGAAGAGTTTGGTTGTGTGAAAGACGATAGTAATACATGGGAATCAATTGGTCGATCTCTCAATACCTCCCAGTGCAAGACTACATATAATGCAAGGAATCGACATGATTTTCTCACTCGTGATCTGCTGAACAGCGAACCCGCTTATCAATGCTTAATTAGTAACTGAGTGAGCCTCCTAAGCTTTTGTTTTTTTGTTTTTCAGGTTTCTAAAGCGTGGTCAAATCTAAAAGAGCTGGATATTTCGTTCAATACAATCACAGATATAGCAGGCTCTAGCCTGGCTACCATGCTTCGTTCGTGTCCAGACCTCCAAACGTTGAACATTGAATCTTGTGCTCTGGGTCAAGATACTTTTCATCAACGAAGTGTTTTGATTGAGGCAATCCAAGGTAGTTACATCTCGGTTGAAACTTGCGTCTGAATTTCCAATTCTAAATTTGATTTATACTTTGGGAAGATTCGTTTGAAACTTGCAAACTTTTACCATACCACACCGGCCATACCACCCCACCCCAAACTGCACTGTATCACACCATACAACAGCATACCATATACCACACCGTTCCAAACTATACTACACCATGCCATATAAAATCAAACCATACCATGCAACACTATACCAACATCTCTCATGAAAACCTGCTCATTTTTTGTCACTAATTTCTCATTTTTTAGGTCTAAAACGACTGCATCATTTGAATGTCTCTCATAATCAAATTCAAGCTGAAGGCTTAACTTCTCTTTTGGGTGCTTGCAGTTGTGTTGAGATTGTCAATATATCTTCAACCGTCGACAGTCATGACCCAGCGTTTGCACTCGCCTTGGCGGATTATTTGAATGTGGTACGATTTTATAAGTTGTTGTTTTTAAACTGCTGTTTATTTAACGTATACTCAATATTGTTTATCACTGCCAACACTGAAACACACTCAAGGACTTCACTATCCTTGGTCTGCTGTGGACCTTGTCATTTATATCACACTTGCCCTAATGGCCTCGTTTTAATGTGCCATGCTACAACGGGCGAGGCCATCGAAGCAAGAGTAAAGTAAGGTTTATCCGTTGTAAACTTAATAAAAAGTTTCTTAGTTTTCCCGCTTTACTGAATTACCAGGGGTCGGTTGTATAAAACTCTTAATCACTTTTTTAATCACTATTTTGTAGTTAAATAATGATTAACTTTCAAATACGCGCTTCTTATTGGATGACGTTTCCACTAACTAAAGTTAACTTTAATTACTTTTTTATACAACCACACCCAGAAAGTAATTACTTGTGTTTATTGCCGCAGGATAACTGTTGTGTCCAGAAACTGATCTGTCGCGGCTGTTTCTTGGAAGATACAGATATATCAATATTGGCAAGAGTTATGAAAGTTCTTACTTGTGATTGTAAACTGGATCTTGGTCAGAATAATATCACCAATGAAGGGGTCTTGAAGCTTATAGAGTAAGACATATAGTTTCATTATGAATTGGTCAGTGGTGGGTGTCAGTAAGAATTACAAGCAAACTCACATCAAGTCTCATCCTCGTTTTTTATAACAATGCTAGTTCAGCAGTACATGTGTATAACATTATCGACTTTCTTCCCAGGTCTCTGGAGTGCAACCCTCACCTGAAACATCTCACCCTATCTGGCAATGTCAAAGTAACCAATGAAGTTTTACTCAAGTTCCTCACTCTACCATCAAACCTGCAGTTTCTCGATTTATCGTGCTGTGGTATTTCTTCTCCACTACCAGAACATTTCGTGAACCACCAAACTGGTTTCTCAAGACATTTGAAATATCTTAATTTATCGTATAATTCGTTGAATCAGCAGGATATCGAAACACTACTTTGTTTGTGGAGCTCGACATGGCGGGAAAAAACTAGTGTGTGTATCACCAACTCAATTGCAATATTTTGTGCAAAGGACTAGAATTTAAAACTGTTGCTATATTCAAAGAAATTTATATATTTGTACTATGTTATGTTTAGATAAATATTTTAGCACACAGTGCTTGATTATATTTATAATCTTGCAACTATAAACTCGTTCGTTGGTGACCAATTCACTAGTCACAGTTCTAAATCCAGGTGCAAATTTTCCACTGATTAGTGAAATTTTATTACTCGGACTACTCGTGTTTTTTAGGTACTTTTACAACACGAGCGGCCGTGTTGTATAAGATTGTGCCACATTGCCAAGAAAATTTCGTATTTCAAATATCACAGGACGAAATTATATTTTTTTTCACCTTTACACCACTATGTTAAATCTGAGTAATGACGGCTTTAAAATTGCATCCCATTCGCCATCTTTTACTCCCAGCGCATGTGCAGACGTTTTTCCGCGCTGTTCTATAAATGTGATTATAAAATAACATGTATATAATGCGTATTCTGATTGGTCGAAAGCCGTGTTTGGATCAGGCCATCCAAACACGGAAGACTACCGTGTTGTTGTTATTTTATAAAACAATTACTTTATGGTTTCCGTGTTTGGATGGACTGATCCAAACACTTGGGAATGTTGCTCGAGTTAAGAAAAGCGGGCAAAATCACTCGCCTTCGGCTCGTGCTTTCGCTCGCTTTTCTTAACTCTCGCAACATTCCCGCGTGTTTGGATCAGGCCATCCAAACACGGAAACCATAAAGTAATTGTATATTGCTGTGTGACGGTGTTTTCGGGTGTGTAACATCCGAACGGCTGTGTACACGGGCCTGTAAGGCTTTGGGTTGTCTTTTAGTCTTTTAACGACTTAATTTTCTATTTACAATAATGAATTGTGACGTGTGACTGTATGTGACCCGTCACAACTTCTTCGTGGAAAATTCCAAAAACTAAATCGTGCATCGTATACATTTCTTCACCACGCGGTAGAACTTAAAATTCGGAAATGCCCGGCACTCCTTCGGGATTTCGCGACTGTACGATGCAAGTCGACAAGTTCCGAGCTATTTTAAAATGACAGGGGGGTTGAGTGGCCTGGGGACGAGGCTTATGCAATGGCCGCTGCATTGTCATGATTTCAAGAAGACATAAGTTGATGATTATGGCAAGAAATCTTTCCTTTACGCTTCAAATACGTCGGTTATGATATTTATTATCTGTAGAATATGTTATCTACATTGAGGACTTTTGCTAGGCCGCGAAACCCTCTGGTTTTGCAGAGGAAAGTACGATATTGTTGGCACTATTTATTAGTATTTAAATACATTTTTACACTGCACTTGTGTTATTGTTTATAATTATATTTAAGTTTCAGCAGTTGATATAACGTAGCTAATACTAGTTTCATTTTAGGGTCTACTTGGCCTCTCATCAAGAACGTTCAATTCAAATGTAATTGGAGAATTTTTACGAAATTCCAAACCACCAAAGGGTATAAATTCCTACATTTTGTCACAGAATAAGAAGGTACAGCAGAAGTGTAACTCGAGTCGGTTCCCTTATTGTTTTACATCCACAAAAATTTTAACTCGTGCCATCCTGGCTAGTACAACCGGACGTTTTATCAGGTTTTGGTAAGTGCAAAGTGCCGGTTGTACTAGCCAGGATGGCGTGATTGATGATGAATCGCTTGTAAAAACACAGACAAATACTTGCTTGAGTTACACTTCTGCTGTACCTTCTTATTCTGTGATTTTGTTATTGTCTGATAGTATGATAGTATTAGTTGCGAATGACGTCATAATTATGTGTGTTGTATGTCCAAGCAACTTAGTAACTTACAGGACCCTCATTATATTAAAGTGCAGAGCATGAGTCACTCGCCATGTTATGATGGTTTGATTTCCAGGTTGGAAATCACATTGCATGCTGGGCAGCACTCACACCAGAGTTAAATGATTGCATTTATTTTCTGTACAAGGGGGTTGAGGGCATCTCTTTCTACCAATCAGATTGTGTCCCCACTGGAATTTAGCTTTTTTATTC